TCTCGCTACAAGTCTCGACTTCACCTTAGTGGGCCATCCAAATTCATCTGCCTTCCAATCGAATACCCACTTAGCGTTAATTGCGTTCTCCACTAGTTGCTACTTCGCCGGAGTAAAAGTCCCTGCTTCCAACAAGCCATAAAACTCCCTTTGCATAGAGTCGCTCCAAAGGTGCCGGTGCTCCGACGCCATGGCCTCTTTGTAGCTCTTGGGGACACGAAGGTCGCTGGCCTGGCAGTGAGGAAGGTCAGGGCGTTGCTCCGGCGGGCGCTGGTCTCGCAGCGTGGCGTCGATGTCTTCCCGGTTGGCGAGGAGCGTGGCAAATGCGAGTGGAAAGCCCGCTCCTCCAGCCCCCGGGTCCACCGCTGCGAGTGCTCCCGCCTGTTCTCCGGCCCCCGCTCCCCCCGGCTCTCCGGCCTCCGCCCCCCCCAGCTCCCTGCGCTCCTCATCCACCGCGCTCCGAGCCTCCAGCATCGACACCAGAGTGTTCTTGTCTAGCATCGAGATGAGTCCTGTGCTGTGCCTCGTGCCCGATCTCGTTCGGCTTGGCAGCCGCGGGTCTATCATACCCTCGGCCTTTGTACCCGGGCGAAGCTGCCGCATGGCGTGAGCCGTAAGCGGGGGCATCGCGGGGTCCGGCGGCGGCGGTTGGTCTGGATCGAGGGTCGCCAACGGTGACGGCAAAGGCAGAAGACGGCTGGCCAGGGGCGGGGGTCGCCGTCGGTGGCGGCGAAGTGGCAGAGGGCGGCTGTGAAGGCGTGGGAGCGGACGGCGACGTGGTCGCTGGCGGCGGCGTTGCGGCGGGTGGCGTTGCGGCAGTCGAAGGCGTCGGTGCTGGGCCAAAGTTGATCGAGACGACCGGCGGCGTGAACGGGGGGGGTGTCGGTGCAGCGGTGATACCAGCGGAACCCCCCTCGCCGGCTGGCGCCGACGTCACCCACGACACGTTGTTGGTGTAGACGACGCGACCGGTGGACGCCTTGAGGACCTTGACGGTGCCGCTCGGGTGGTTGTCGCCGCCGTTCAGGTAGAAGCAGAGGGTGGCCTGGTCGTCGAGCTTGGTGCGGCGATCCTCGCGCATGAAGCCGGGCTGGAAGAACGGCAGCACGCGGAACGGCCCTTGCTCGCCGGTGAACATCTCGTGCGGCGAGCGCCGCCCGGGGTTGGCCTTGGTCGCCGACTGGTTAAGAGCGTCGGCGGCCCACTTCGCCGATTCCATCCAAAGACGGTCACCGCGCTCGTCGAGGCCGGGGATGGAGGCGAAGTCGACGTTGAACACACGGCCAACGCTGCGGCGGGCGGCCATGCCGGCCTTCATAATCCGCCAGATGGCGCTCTCGACGACGCCGTTGTACTTCGGAGTGCCAGGCGGGGTGAACTCGACGCCGATGCCGTTGTCGTCGCAGAATTGCCGGAAGTCGCCACGGGTCCACTCGGTGCCGTTGTCGATGCGGAAACACTCGATGCGCCCGAGGTCGTACCGCCCCACGTCCGCCAGCAGCCTTTTCGTTGCCGCCAGCGCGTCGGACTTTCGCCGGAGACCGTAGACCTTGTTCCACCGCGAGGCGCTGTCGACGGCGACGAACAGGTAGAGGTTGCCGCCCAGGGAAGGCCCCAGCGGTCCACACAAGTCCAGGTGAACACGCCCGAGTGGCTTGGACGCCCGCGCTCCCGGCCCCCGCGGCACCGACCCTCGCCTGCCCTTCGCCTTCATGCAGTCCGTGCACGGTTCCAGCTTGCCGGTGAGCACGATGCCTCTCTGCTGGGCGGTTTCTCTCAAAAGGGGCTCGCAAGCGTGGGCAAGGGAGCGGTGGAAGCGGTTGATGTCAACGGACTTTTCAGTCGAACCAAGAGCAAACGGGGACGCACCAGGGCCAAGCGCGGCCGCACCCAAGTATCGAGTGTTCGCGAAGTTTTCAGTGAATAACTGTTGCGAGCAGGGGGGATGTTAGATATACTCGCAGCAGTGCGTGGTCGTGAGGATCCCAGGGGGATACGTGTTGGGAATTTCGTGTGTTGCAGGGTACCATCGGTGCGGTCACGGGGACCCTTTTGGCGTGGTTGGTGCGATGAAGCTTGCGTGCGTGCTGCGCTCACTTCTTCCTCTCTCTCTCCACCACCACCACCGTCTCTCTCCAATCAAGTTTCCTTCTCCCACTCTCTCTCCAACTCTCTCTCAATCTCTCTCTCTCGGCCTAACACGGCCGACTACCCAGTGCCCCAAGTAACGTCCAGAACGTGCTTGCTGCACCCCGCGTAGTTTACCTTTCAGTGTTGCTCAATGAATATCTGTGTGGCTCTTTGGCTGTAGTCGCTGTCTATCCCAATTTCAATCGCCGCTCGAATTTCTTACGACCGCACGGCCTTGCCTACCGATATGAACGTCGCTGGTAAACAAACTCATGAACTATCGGGAGTCCTACAGTTGCATCAACTCGCAACCACAATACTCTTTTCTGCGATGAAGCTGTGTCGAAGCCTGCAGCATTCACACCGAATTCCCGAGTCCAACAAGCCAGAGTCAATTGTATTACAAAACACGAGACCCAGGGGTGCGAGCAATGATCCGAACCGATCCATGTAGGCAGAGGTTACGCTCAAAGGGCCCATGTCGCTGTCATCGACGCTCAACGACGACAACAACTTATCATGAAACACACCCTACCAACATACCATGTAGCACAAATCGACAATCTCCAGTGAACACCCGCCTCCTGCGTGACCCCGGTTGTACGTCAAATCCTGAAAGTAGAATACTGGCGCCCAGAATTGATGGGACAACGACATACATTCAGAACTATACGCACGCGCACCAACACTTCCCAAACATATCCAGCAGGGACGTACGTAGAATTGTGAACCACAAGACAAATGCCAACAATGCGGTGGCTCTGGACGGGCCGGCCAGCCTGCGTGCTTCCTGTCTGCCGGATGCCGCAGTCAAAAGAGAGATGGCTACGGCGACGACCAAGCAGGGCCCCAGAGAGCGTCTAAGCTGGACATATGTTGCCTCTCTTTCACTTCAACGAGTGCACCATTGACGTAGCCTTGCCTGATGCCACCGTTACGATCGCCGCCGCCAATAGCAGCCGGTGCGATCTCTACCGTGACATCCACCGGTGTGAGAGCCTCTAACGTTCTTCGTCAACAGGAGGCCTCCCTGAACATGCACAGCACTTCTGGGGGCCGGCCCATCGCCCCACGTCCAGCCTCGACTGATTCATTCACCGCACCCGCTCCACGCACACCGGGCACCATGGAACCTCTGGCAATAAAAATTGTTCACACAAACTACGCCAAAAAGATCAACCTCATTTTCGTCTATTTTGCGCCTTCCACAACGAGCACGAATAATCACAAAACGACAGCGCGGTGAATGAATCAATCGGCACCAGCGTACCTCGGACAATCAAAGCTGTTCACACAAAACACACCTCACGGTGAGCTTAATTGCCGTCTAGTTTTCGCCTTCCACAACATGCACGCACAATCACAAGGACGACACATACAAATCGCTGAAGCACTCCTTGCTCAGCAAAGAGATAATCTTCAGAATTGGTGCATCCCCCCAAAGTGCCGGGGTCATTCATAGGTACTCGTGTTTCGTCACTCCCCCCCCCACGGCAAACTACCCCCCTCCCGCCTACAAAAAATGAAAGATTTTCTTGTAGATACGCTCAGGCTTCGTGTTAACACAAACAAGAGATGGAACACTGCAGTCTTGACGTCGCTGGCTGCGATACCGACCACCATTTTGCTTACATGTTGATTCGTTGCGCAATAATAGTGAAATCGAAATACGCTGCGCATGTTACCGGTATAGTATCCCCATCGATTTTACATTAAGCGTGCTTATACTACAATCATACTTAAAAATACGCGTGCTTAAACTAAGAGGAGGGTTAAACTGCCAGCAACGTGGAGTATGACACGGCTGCATCATCAACACAGCAAAGCATTATTCCCAACCCAAACCTAACCTTAACCCAACACGGGGAATATGCGATACACACAAGACGATCATTTCCAATGTGTTTGCGGACAATCGCTACCTACGGCCTGAACCCCCTTTTCCTACGCTGCACCAAGAACATGCAGTAGCAGCATCCACGACACGAGGCGTTGCCGGTCAGGCGGGTGTTCCTGCAACAGAAAATATATCAAGCATTCTACGAGGGAAACAAAAACAAAGCGTATGTCCTATTCGAGAGTGCCCCTCGTGGTGACAAGGGGGTAGACACACACCGCCGGTTAAAGGCGGTCGATACTACTCAAGAAACAACGCTTACACCGTAGCAAGCCTCCCCCATGACCCTTCCTCAAGGTGTCCCAGATCATGACCCTTCGAAGCACTTCGTGTTTGCAACCGCACTGAGACACCACCATTTTCACTGGTTAGCCGGTTGGCACGGTCGATGGTACTCAAGTAAAAATACACACACACAGCGCGGTCGATGCCAGCTAAAGAATCACACAGACACCCCCCCCCCACTGGTGGCAGAACCTTTCGGTTAGAAACCATTTTTACGTTTATTGTTCCGCTACAGGACTACTGTAACCGTTTCATTGTCAGCTGGCCAGCGCAGTCGATGCCAACTGCAGAAACATACCTACACAAATCTTTCTGTCTTACATCCGGAGATAAGTCCCCCCTCAAGGCGTCCCAGATCATGATATTTCGAAGAATTTCGTGTTTTCAAATGCATTGAGACCGACTTCTCTATTTTGGCCGGTCGGTTTGCGTGGTTGATGCTAACAAGTAAAGACACACACACAGCGCGGTCGATGCCAGCTAAAGAGTCACTTACATTCCCGCCCCCCCTGTCGGCAGAACCTTTTTGGTCACATAGAAAACCGTGTTTTTGTTTCCGCTACAAGATTTACTTACGTCTTTTTGTTGGTCAGCCGGCTAATGTAGTGCGGTCGATGATAACCCCCCGCACACACGCATTCACACACACACCGTTCTCTCACGGCGCTGTGACCCGGGCGGGCTAGCCTCATTCTTCCGTGTCGAAAACGAAGGGGGCGTACACCCCCTGGGCAAAGAGCAGGGCGCAGGACACCCCGCAGATGGCGGTCGTGACGGCCCATCCGGCCATGATCTTGAGTACCATCCTAGTGTTGAGCCCGCCAAGACCCTTGGTTTCGATCGTACACCGCGTGACATGAGGGTGGAGGGGAGGGCTCGTGTTGCGTGCCTTAGTTTTTACGCCATTGACGTTGCGTTGTCGAGATGACTGAACAGCACCGATCACCGATGGCCAATCGTTCTTTGCTACTACAGGGGCGGGTAAAAATAAGATGTGATAGGGTTGGGGGGGGGCGTCCCCAGTGTGCTGGGCCACAACGGTTGGTTGGGGGGGGTTAGACGTAGTGAGTGCTGCGTACCCAGATTGAAAGGTGTATGGAGAGCTTCGTGGAAGATCAATTCATTCCCAGCGTTCGGGTACAGGGGGAGGAAGGGAGACTTCGGAGGAAGGCGGCCGCGCGTTCTCTCACCTCCAGCAGGGCGATTCCCGAGGTGGCGCCGACCTGGCAGTGCGTAGAGGACAGCGGAACCCCCAGCATTGTGCCAGTGATCATGACCAGGGCCGCCCCGATCTCTATGCTGAAGCCGCGGGACGGTGTGATCTTAGAGATCTTCACGCTGATTGCCGTGACGATTTTGTGCCCGTACAGCGACAACCCGGCTACGATGCCGAAGCCTCCGAGAGCAAGGGTCCTTATATTATTGAAACGTGTTACGATGCGCGGGGCGGGAAAAATATTGGAGATTCACACCGCCGAATGAATATTTTCTCCTCGATGTTCATAAAATTCACAATATCGTCGAGGAGAATAGATACAGAAGTGTCGCGCCAAAACGATGACATTCTTATGAAACACTTATGACATGTCTAGTCAGGGTCGTTTCAATCGTGGAAGTAAAAAAAAGGAAATAATGGCGGTGTCGTTACGCCTCAACCACAACAGTGCTCGCACGACAAGGGGGCATGCATTGCACGACCGGCCAAGGTTCCCAGAATTCGCTTATCTCTCTCAAATATGGCACTTGGAAGAAAACAAATCTACAGGCAGGCTGCGAATGACGGTGCGGAAAGCGACCTGCGTCGTTCCGTTGTTAAGTGAAGAAGAGCAGCGCCGCAGAATATTCTGAATGAATGTGATCGCGGGTGCTACCCCTATCGTGACGCGGATCGCGAGCACTCACAGGTATCCCAGCTTCCAGAGGCTTCCCTTCATCCGAACTTCCCCATCGATATATACCGCCAAGATGATTTCAAAGGGCCCCGTGGCGTTGGCCACGTTGTTAGCTCCGTGAGCGAAGGCATCGCATATTGCAGTCATGACCTGGACGTACTTGAACACCTCTGGACGTCGAACGGTTGGGGTGTGCATGGAACAGCGCAGACGGTTGGTTCGGTCGTCAGCGCAGCGCATGGTGACAGGCAACACTTCCATATTTCACTCACTTGCGATTCCTCCTCTGGAGACGAGAGAGTTTGATGGGGTGCGCTGTACAGATAGGGGGGTAGCTTCCAGAATGTCGGGCTGGCAAAAAAACGCGCCTGTTACAATCTTTGGGGTAAATGAAGTTAACTTGGTCTTTCTAGCGGTTACCTCTTTTGAAACAACTTGACACGAAGCTAGCTTCGGCGAACCACGTCAAACACATGGCAACAGCGTGTATGTCGTCATTATCCTTGAAATTCTCGAAGTACGGATGGATGTGACATCACTCCATTTCCCACTGCAGACACGAGCTTGCCAAACGGCGGTTCACCTTTTCAGGTCGGCGGTCAATCATTTATGTTTCGTGCGAGTTTGCCACGGACGTGTGATTTTCTCGTGAGAAACACGCCTTGGAACTACAGAGCGGATCGTGATGCCTGTCGATAACCGCAAAAATGCGTTCGTGTTCACTTAAGGGCGTGGTTTCTCGCAATTGAACTGGTATCAATGTCAAAGCTACCGAAGTTTGTTGTCGGAGACGGAATAAACAAATGTTTGTTGTAACCGATGGAGTTGTAACGCATCATTGGACTGGTACACGCATAATAGATTTCGCGTGTTTTGGACACGAGAGGAGAGCACACGTGCGTGCATCGGTGTCGTAGGTGGTTGTGCCTGTGAGCGCGAGAGAGGACCTCGGAGCACGTGGGCAAGCCGAAGAAGGATTGAAGTATTGGCCAACACAGAACAGGTTGTCACAGAAAGTAGTATCTTTTCTCGCAAATGTATCGGACCCCATAGCAACGGAGATCGTGAGACACTGAATGATTATCTATCTATCTTGATAGACGGGTCCCATACGGCGGAACTGTAGAAATATTCGATGCGCATAGCATTGGCTACTACTGCAACAACACACGATGCCAGTCGTTCGTGGTCACCGTCCGGCGAGCTGCTTTCCGTTTGGGCGCTTCAGAGGTACGTGTGCTTGATATGTGTGCTTCCCGTCCTAGTTATGTACCCTTGGTGTCAAATCTGCTCCTGTCGGCATGTACGTGTATTGCCCATGTGTTTGCCGAACCAGCCGGGTTCATGTACAGGATAGCAGAAAAAATTCGTATGCACACCTTCCACAGGATCGAACTCCTCGCTGTCAGAGTGAATCGTGGGGACCTCTTGGGTTACCTCTTCGAAAGTCTCCAGGTAGGCGTGAACGTCGTGCTCCAGGTTTTCGGTGATGAAGGACCGCCAGCGACTACCGCTGCCACTACCGCTGTCGCTACCGCTGGGGCTGCCGCTGCCGCTGCGGCTGCCGCTGTCGCTGCCGCTGTTGCTGTCCCTGCCATTATGGCTGCTGCTGTCACTGTCGCTGCTACTCTTGCTGCCCCTGCTACTGCTACTGCTACTGCTGCTGCCGCTGCCGATGTCGCTGCCGCAGCCACTGCCGCTACCGTTGCCGCCACCCTCGACATCTTCGGGGTCATACGGACCGCTGTTGTCGACCTACCGAGAACAGGAAGGGAAAAATGTTTCGCTCTGCCTCCATTGGTACGTGCCGCAGAGGGAGTGAAAAATGTTGTTTCTCACTCGAAGATGGGGGTTTGGTTGATCCATGCGTGTTGTTGAGGAAGTGAAAACCGGGTTTGCCGGACCTACACGCAGTAGTTGATTCGTGTGATACATGCTAGGGAGTGAGTGAAAATGTGTGTCACTCTAGGCCATAAGGGCCGTTGATCGGTGCGTGTTGCGGAGGAAGTTAGAGTTGTCATCACTATCCCTATTCGTACGACGGGGAAGCGGATTTGGTGCCCCGTTCGTGGTGTGGAGGACGTGAAAAATGAAACGGTTCCCTCTACCACGGGGTCGTGGGTTCCATCCACAAGGATAGTTCCCAGCGAGCATTGGCTGGTCACCGCATATGCGGGTCTTGGCACGGATCAGTGACCCTTTTCGGTCTGGATCCCCATCGCTGCTTTGTATTTATTCAGAATCGCGCGGGTCGGAGTCATCGCACGGGGTTTGCGCTACATGTTTAGGACCAAAGCATTAAATTCATGTTCCGCACACGTGTTGGTGTCCTTGACACGTATCGGCGTCTTGAAGCCCCTGTGATAGGAAGGTTTGTTCGTCGAAGCAGATAGAATAAACTGGTGTTTATTTTGTAACAGTCGAATTAGAATTTGGCTTCATTTTCTACCGGAAACCCAGGGTCACGGTGTTTGGAATTATTAGTCTATAGTTGGGGGTGTCATTCCGTGATCGAGTCCACGCAGGGGCTGTAGCAAAGTCGGGTAACGTGTGACAGCTACAGAGCGCGTGAAGCAACGGAAGGACAGCAGCAGCCGCCTAACGCAGTAGCGGCGGCAGTTTAGAAAAGGGCGGGACGGGACACGGCGCAAGCATTGGGGAAGTGACCAGCACGCGACTCTCCATATAAAGGTGTGTACTCGTGTCCAACATCCATCGTGTCGGCCGTGTTCCTATTCGCGTCCCGCTACTCTTGTGACCTCACCGCTGCGTGCATTTAGCACGAGGGGGGAGGGTGCAGTAAGATAAGCGGCGGCAAGCCAACGCAGTCTCGCTCGCCGCGCCGCTCAGATAGGTCCCTTCCCAAACATGGGATGCGGTTCATCCCAACCGAGACGTACTCTCGCTGAAGAAAAAAAATGCGGTTCGTCCCAACCAGACGTACTCTCTCTGAAGAAAAAATTCAACGGCAAAAAGAAAGAGCGGGGCCTGTTGTATGGTCGCACGCTGACTTGTCGCGGTTGATAGCAGCCATTGTACTGCACGGGGGTGGAGGAACCCTGCGGCATCGGACATAACCAATCGACCCGCGGCAGTAGGGCATGATGCTGTCACGATTATGCACATGAGGCAGGTGCCTTGTTTTCTGTTTCCCCCGGCTTACTAGGGACTACTTGCCGGTACAATCTTGTCTGTGCCGCGCACAGAGGGGCATATAGCTGAAGGAATCGACGATAATATGCCCACTCACGTAAGCAATCGTCTCCACGGATGGTATTGACAAGTCCCCACTGATGGTATCGACAAGTCCCATGGCATACAAAGCGGCCGCATACGTAATCGGAAAGTGCATTCAACAGCATTCACGGGAACGGATAAAAGCAAAAACACATGCATGCGAGAGAAAGACTCAAAGAAAAAGACTGAAAAACAATGAAGACGAGAAAAAAAAAACGAGACAGCGAACTACGTGCTGTATGCATAAGGAAAAAGAAGATGAGAAAAAAATAGGGGGGGGAGGTGGATGTGACACGCGAGGTTCGAACTCGCGAGGAACGTCAGGTAGCGGTCCATGTGAGTGCATCACGGTCTCGAGGGGCATCACGTCAAATTTATTGCCGCCGTGACACAAACCTTCTATAAGAATACGTCACGTCCATCGACGATTAAGCGACCAAAAACGCCCGGACAGCAATTGATGCATGCCAAAAACTCGTCAACCTGCCGTAGGATTGTCTATGCGGAAGTGATCTCAATGAAAATAAAAAAAAACAAGGACACGCACCAGCACGGGACGCGCCAATAGTGGAAGCACTCGTCCGTGCTGTTGGCGAGTGGAAGTTAACCGATCTCAACGCAACGAAACACGAAGTCATACATGTATCAGCACGGGATGCGCCAATGAGTGGAAGCACCCGCGCTGTTGGCGAGTAGAGTTAACCGAATTCAACGCAGCGGTAGAAAAATACCACAAATCATGCATCAGTACGGGACGCGCCAATGAGTGGAAGCACCCGTGCTGCATATGTGATGTCAGCCTCAGCACGGGACGCGCCAATGAGTGGAAGCACTCGTGCGGTTGGTGAGTAGAGTTAACCGATCTCAAAAAGAAAGAACAAAACGCCGTACATGTATCAGCACGGGACGCGCCAATGAGTGGAAGCACCCGTGCTGTTGGCGAGTAGAGTTAACCGAATTCAACGCAGCGGTAGAAAAATACCACAAATCATGCATCAGTACGGGACGCGCCAATGAGTGGAAGCACCCGTGCTGCATATGTGATGTCAGCCTCAGCACGGGACGCGCCAATGAGTGGAAGCACTCGTGCTGTTGGCGAGTAGAGTTAACCGATCTCAAAAAGAAAGAACAAAACGCCGTACATGTATCAGCACGGGACGCGCCAATGAGTGGAAGCACCCGCGCTGTTGGCGAGTAGAGTTAACCGAATTCAACGCAGCGGTAGGAAATACCACAAATCATGCATCAGTACGGGACGCGCCAATGAGTGGAAGCACCCGTGCTGCATATGTGTTGTCAGCCTCAGCACGGGACGCGCCAACGAGTGGAAGCACTCGTGCTGTTGGCGAGTAGAGTTAACCGATCTCAAAAAGAAAGAACAAAACGCCGTACACGTATCAGCACGGGACGCACCAATGAGTGGAAGCACCCGCGCTGTTGGCGAGTAGAGTTAACCGAATTCAACGCAGCGGTAGGAAATACCACAAATCATGCATCAGTACGGGACGCGCCAATGAGTGGAAGCACCCGTGCTGTATATGTGTTGTCAGCCTCAGCACGGGACGCGCCAACGAGTGGAAGCACTCGTGCTGTTGGCGAGTAGAGTTAACCGATCTCAAAAAGAAAGAACAAAACGCCGTACACGTATTAGCACGGGACGCGCCAATGAGTGGACGCACCCGTGCTGTTGGCGAGTAGAGTTAACCGAATTCAACGCATCGAAAACGAAGTCGTACACGTATCAGTACGGGACGCGCCAATGAGTGGAAGCACCCGTGCTGCATATGTGTTGTCAGTTTCAGCAAGGGACGCGCCAATGAGTGCTGTTGGCGAGTAGAGTTAACCGATCTCAAAAAGAAAGAACAAAAACGCCGTACACGTATCAGTACGGGACGCGCCAATGAGTGGGC